TTACAAAAAAAGGTAAAAGCCTAAGCAAAGAGGCAAAGTGATATGAGGGAATCAAACTCAGGTCAAAGTTAACCCTGTATGGTTTCTAAAAAATTACCGGTATTCCACAGGGAGATATTTTAAAGGATATGTTCTTGACATGCCATATTGTCAATGACATTTTAAGGTAACCTTTTACTGACATGTTACCATGGACCTAGATAAATTGAGATGAACATCATGAATTTTTTATGATTGGCTATGTTTGAAAGAGGTATATTCTTCATTATTTCTGTGGAGAACATATCATGAGACTGCAAGTGATTTTCATAGGATATGTTGCAGATATTTGCCCACCATCTCCTAACAGAGGTCCAGGGTGGACACGGAGTGCTAAGGAGCAGCGATCTAATTTTCCCTTTGAGACAAGCATAAACCAGGTTGCCTGGGTTGCTTATTGGATAAGATATTATCGCCAAGGAGCAAGGTTATCGATAGCGGATAGCGTCGCGTAGCAGTGAGGCATCGCTAAGGCTATTTCGGGCTATTACGGCAAAATAGCGGTAAAAAGCGCAAAGTCAAATAGCGGTCTAATTTAGATATGTATAAATACTAAAAAAGAAAAATTAAAGAAAAATCTAAGAAATTTAAAAGTACATATTGGATGATTTAAAGAGATCCTAAACATGAAATAGACATGTAACCATCACGTAATACCGAAGATGACTGGAGGAGTCAAAAAGTCATCGTCTTCGAGAAGAAGAGCTTAGCGGTGATAGGACTGCCCTAAGAGGAGCTCACGGTGAAGGAGGTGAGAGGAAGTATCAAGGTAGGTACCAGAGGCTATGAGAGGTGGCGGGAGTATGCTGAAAATCACAGGAGACGGTGGAATGCAATGGTCAAGGGTTGAGTTTAATTTTAAAAAAATAAGCCTCAAACCGCTTTTAAATAGTAATCAAAAAGCAAATTTCGAATGCGATCGCTCACTATTTACCATGACACACTATTAGCTGCTTTTACGAACAGACATATTCCGCAATATGTCACCGCTATTGCGCGATAGCGTAGCGGGTGACAGCGTCTCGAGAAGGGACCGCTAACGCTATTAGCGTCGCTATTGCGGGACTATTTTACCGTTATTTATAACAGTGCCAAGGAGGCATGGTCTTTATGGAAAATTCATGTCATTCTACCGGGAAACCTTTAAAGGAGATGTTGTTGCCATGTCACATGGTAAGCACACCCTTTTGTCAAAATTTAGTCCATCTCTGTTAAATTTCATCACTTGAATATAACTACAACAGTAACAAAGCCTTTAATCATAATATTAGGTCAACTAAATGGACCCCTTCGATCATCCATTATGTTTTGTTAATGGCCATATTCTCAGAAAATAGGGTCAGAAGCTATGAAATAGTGAGTAACTGGACGTCTGAAAGCTTGTTGTAGACAGTTGTCTGTCATGATTGGACTAACATTCTAAAGAGTAAAGTTTCACAAGTTCAAGTGGGCCTCCAAATTCATCAGAGTTGAAAGGCAATAATCAATGGGAATACTTCTCCAGAGGGCTCCAAGGGTTATGCTAGTTAATATTCAACTAGTTGATACAGGGTGTTGTCCACGTCAAGGTTATCGATAGCGATAATGTCACATAGCGGTGAGGTACCGCTAAGGCTATTTGCCCCTATAGCGATAAAATAGTAACAAATAGTGGTCAAATTTAAATATATTTAAATATTCTAAAAATAAAAAGATTTATAGAAAAATCTAAAAATTCTACAAATGCATATTTGATAATTTATAGAGAGCCTAAGCATGAAATAGATGTGTATCAATTGCGTAATATTAACAAAGTACTTTAAAGAATAAAAAAGCACCGGAAATGGTGGAGATGGTGGAGAGAGCACCGGAGATGGGGAGGAAGCACGGGAGAGAGAGAGAGGGGGAAAGAACCAGCGTCTAGGGTTTTTTCTCTTTTGTGGATACAAATCAAAGATAATGGGAGAGGGAGGGAGGGAGGGAGGGGGAGGGAGAAAGAAGAGATCTGATAGGATTGTAATGATAAAAAGGGTCGGGTTTGGGTATGGGTCGGGTAGAATATAAAAGTTATCCATCAAATAAAAGCGGGTTTTAGCAGTTAAAAGTGCTGGAAGGCGCACAATCACGAGTAGCGGTTTTGGCCGCTATTTGCTACCGCTTTCGCTGATAGCATAGCGGTAGCCAGTGCTAACGCTATGAAAATCGCTATAGCGCCGCTATGCATTACTATTCACAACAGCGGTCCACATGTTTCAAACACTACAAGCAAAGCCATCAAGATCCAATAATTCAAAGATACAAGAAATTCTATTCCTGAAAGCTGGAGAGGAGCTTAGGATATTGCTAAAAGTTTCATACTCAGATTGAGGCTAATTAGCTTGAATCTTAAAATAGACAACTCCAATGGGATGTGGTCAACACAAGCCTCGCGATTAGCTATTAACAAAATATAATTATGGAGAGAATGAGGCCCATCGCCTTAATTCATGTGGCGAGACAGGACTGTCACTGAAAATATAATTCCCAATAGGACATTAAATTCCTATCAAGAGATAATAAAATGATAAAGAGCAGTACAAACAAAATAGACAGGACTAACAATTTCATTTTGGCTTGTGAGAAATAAATCTAAGAAAGACACCTATAGGAAAATGTAGTTATTGCCTTGAAACATAAACAATATCCACTACTACAAAAACATTAAAGTTGAGAAGGAGTACATTGATATAAGATGCATATTGGCCCAAAGTCGTTGCAGCTGTAGATACTTTACGGCTAAACACTAAGAGACTAAAACATAAAGGCATGACAAAAGGATATATATAATACCATAATGGGTATGACATGACAGCTAATTTTGCTAAATGAACTATCAAGTGATAGACTAGTAACGAAATCCGTCTTCTGGTCACATCGGAGCAGGTGGGCATCACAACTCCTATCTCTTTGTAGCTCATTTTGTCACATGCGCCGCCAACTCATATTATATATACATGTAATATAAGTTGGGGCTTATTTAGCAAATTGAACTACTGCCTCATACCCATTATTTATATAACACGCGCTCCCCCACCCCCCAACTAACATACACATATGATACATGTATGCATGCATATATATATATATACATATACGTGCATGCATGCATATATGAAAATAATGGGTATGAGATGGCAGCTCACTTTTCTAAATGAGCTACCAAGAGATACCCTACTTGTCACATCAAAAGGGTGTTGACATCACCACTTCTATCTCTTCATAGCTCATTTTGCTAAATGAGACGCTACCTTATAACCATTAATCCTTGTACTACATATATACATAAACATATATATTATATGAACATAGAACATACATACAAACACACACGCACACATACATTCGGAGTAAATTTTTTGAAAAGGAAGTTATTTCCCAGAACAATTTACTTTCCACAAAGGAAATTTATCAAAAGCTGCATTAACAAAAAAGGAGACATCTCAATAGAAGTACCTTTGAAGATAAAGCAAATGGTGATTATACTGTTATGTCTACCCATAAATGTTTCAAGCTTGGTTTACTAAAAGACAGTCATGTGTGAAATATTTACAAATAAAAACAAGATAGTGATCTTGAACAGACAAAATGTGTTCCATAGACATATAATTATAGGGAGAAGTGACAATGAAAACTCAAATAAAGGAATCTGAAAATTTTTCAGAAACCGAAATGCAAGTGGTAGATAGTTTCCTTTTTCTTTCTTTTGGTGTGGGGTAGTGGGTGAGTTGTCCGGTAGGGAATTTGGTTGGAGGAACTCATACTGACCCAAAGTTTTCACGATCATCCAATATCAAGATAACATCATAGGTCTCTTCAAAGTTCTCCCCAAAACTTCGAGGTGGCATCGCCAAAATGTTTGCATCTTTTACCTCTGTGCCCACATCTATTGATTTTTTAACAGGAACATCCTGAGTAGTCCACAAAAAACATATGTATCACTACAAGCACATAGCATCTTATGTCTAGAAAAGGAGAAATTAGCGTAAATTTTGTTCAATACGAAAAAAAATACAAGAGGGCTGAAGTAAAGATACATGTGAAGTGCAACCCCTCAGATTGAAAGAACTCGTAGCTACATTATTATGGAGTGTATTTTCATGATAAGCAGCAGCAGAAATAAAACCTTTCTTGTTACCTGCATGCAAGTATACCAATAATTGGGTTGGTGAAGAGAAGATTGAACAAAATGCAACGGAACTATCATCTATCAAACCTCTAATAAAATCATGAAAAATTACCTGTATCCATGGAAGAGAAAGTACTAAATTCTGCAGTTGCAGAATAACTCTCAAGTTCCGCAGGAATGGAGTCAGAATCAGAAGAAACCACTATGTCATCCCCAAATTTCTGCAAAACAACAATGGGAAAGGTATCTTTTTCAGATCCAGAGCTTCCAAGACAACAAAAGCTGAAATATTTCATTAATAATTGTCAAAATTAAAAGGCCTATGTATAACCACAATCCTTTAATCAAGCTTTAATCAATGAGATAAGCAACTTTCCTCCCGATTTGTAGTCCATCCAATGATAATTAGTGAAATATTTCTATTTAGTGAATCAAACTACAACTGGGACAAGCCTAATTGTGCTTATGTTAGCTTTCCAAGTTCCAATAAAAAACATTATAAATTGATAAATTTGCATTATGTTGTCGAGAAATCTTAAATGAAACTGTGCACCTAAAAGTATGGCTGCTTGATACGACAAACTCAATTTCTAGTCAATTTCTGATAAATACTTTTTTATCTAGTCAAAGTATGTGATGCCAAGTTAAAACAATACAACCAATAGACATATCGTATCAGAACCATGACAGGTCCAAACACAATATAAATTGAACAATCTATTTGACATGGCTGGCCTGTCACATAAATAATCAGTGGATGGAAATTTCATGCTCTGCAGAAAAGCATAAATCAGAAATATTCAGATTACATGAGTATTTCAGGAGTAATCTTACCCTAGAAACATCATTCAATTCCTTTTGACAGCTTGAACTACTAAAGGAAAACCTTGCTTTTCTTTCAGTGACAGCGGAATCCAAATGTGATACTGTTTGCTGATCAAGAGAGCTTTGAGATCCATTTATTGCAGTCAACAGTGCAGAAGAATCATTTAAACCAGATCTCAGGATGCATTCACGTGCAGCTTCTTGGCCTTCTTGAGTTAGCATGTATCTAGAAAATAGTAGAATAGATACTCACATGTTTATATGATTGAATTGAATTTATCTGCAAAAATACATCAAATTCAAAAAAAATAAAGTTGGTTGGAATAACTAAGCACAAACAGCATAAATACAAGTATGCCAACCTAGTACAGGTTTTCAACCAAACAAATCCAACTTGCATTTATTACTCATTTACTGGATAAAATATTTTCTGTTTGAAACTTAAATCCCCAACATGTGTGATATGTGACTTCTCAAAGTAGCACCTTTCGCACAAGAAAACTTATGGTATCGGCTTGACCTTTCATGAGCAAGGAGCCAAGGACAAAATGAACACCTATGGTGAAGGTGTGCACTGTCTATTCTTGTTTCAACATTTCCACTATAGTGTCCGAGTGAATCCTGTTATTTCCTCTGGAATATATATAGACATGGATAGAAATGAATTTTATTAGCTCAAAGATTCCGGCTCACCAAATTGTATCCACATCAATATAGTATTGCATAGCTTCATATTATTTAAATAACATTTAAGTACTACATCATTGCTAATCTTCATGTTGGATAATCACATGAATTGTCAACTAAATACAGAGTTTAGCAAATCTTATTCACGTCAAGTTTTGTTTAAAGAATATATAGATGTGAGTGATTTGTGCCCCATCGATGTCCGTATCTGAGTCCATGCCTATCTCAATCAAAGCAAATATGCGTAATGATACCCATATGTGGTGCATAATCCATCCTTTTCAACCCCACTGCCACCCTCTGATTGTTTTTCTTTCAATAAAAAGATGGAAATTTTACAAACTTTACTGATTAATTAATATGAATTAAGCTGGCAAGATCGCTGTCAAGAACCATCAGGCACCATTCAAGGGTAGAAGTTTTATTCCTTTTTCTTTTCTTTTTATTTTGCAGGAATTGTTTCCATTTAAAACTGAATATTATGTTTCCTAAAACTGAAGCTTATATTTTCCATTGTGTTGCATTTAGTGAAAAAAATAAACTATCAAAATATATAAATTCAACTCAAGACGACAACAAAATTCTCACGAGGAAACAAGAATTTTGGCAACATATCAGACACAAGCCTTATCACCACCTGAAAAATCATGCCTAAGATATAAAAATTGGGTCTTAAACTAACTGAAATCAACTGATATTGTAATCATCATTAAAAAAATTATTATAACTGAGATTCAAAGAAAATGAGCCTTACTTTAATTATTATAACTGAGATTCAAAGAAAATGAGCCTTACTTTGCTGGGCAGCTTGATTTCACTACTAATCCTTTTGACACCAATGTCTTCATGCAGCTCCATCCAGTATACCAATCCCTACCTGAACTCACAAATTGTCCAGGTTTTCCTTTAGATTTATCTGGTCTGTCACAAACAAAGAAAGTGCAATCAGTTAATAATCACCTTCACAAACTTCCACGGCAATAGATGAGAACAATATCCGGCTAAGAGCATAACTCACCCAATAGCAGTTCGTGAAAGCCCACTAGCTTCAGCAGCATCAATGAGTTCCTGCTTCTTCATAAAACTATTACCGTTTGCCATTTCTCTAGAAGTGCAAAGAACAAAATTGACTTTCAAGCCACAATGTCATCAAAAATAAACATAAACATAAAGAAAAAGAGAAATGGTTTGTTGTGTACCTATAAAGGGTAATTAACAAGGCATACGCTACTGAATTCTTTTGGGGAACATAACGTTTGGGTCCTTTTGTCTTCTTTCCTACAGAAGCAAACAATTCAATGATAGAGGAACTGATGTAGAATGTAAAATAACTGCAGTTGTTTGGTTCATCACTTTACACTAATCACAGTAGATCACATTAGAAGTTATGAAAACAATAGACTAAATCCATCATTTTAACAAAAATCTACATATCTAAAATCTTAAGCAGATATGCAACTAGCTGATTTCGAGATTCATGAGTTTTCTAAGTTAAGAGATAAGTACACTCAGTGTCAGCATACAGTTATGTAATCATCCATCATATTAACCGGATGCAAGGCCACTCCAAAGAATGGCATCTATGTATGTATGAATCTACTATATATCTATCTAGACTATCTATATACTATACTAATAAAACAACCTCCACTGGATGCGGAATTGCAACACCTGATGCTAAATTAGACATGTAATTTTCCGTCCTCCATAATATTAGTTATTCTATTCCTTTTACATACGTTTTTTCCCTTTGCTCTATGCTTTATAAATCTAAAATGAACCCGAAAACTTCCAATTTTCTTGACATTAATGATTCGTTTATAACTGTATCTATGAGTGCAACAACATTGTAATACGAAGTGATGGGTAAAAATCAGTTCAATTCTAATATGTGGCAAAATAAATGTACACTTCCCCCAACAACATACTAACAAAAAAATTCCCAACAACTCAGTGAACAGATTTCAGGATCCAGCATTGTTTATTCATGATAACTAAACGCTCAGTTTAGGATACAGAATCAAAAACCATGTTAAAAATGAAAAATTAACCAAAATGTTTACCCTTTGACGGTGAAACCTCCAAAGGAGCAGGAGAATCAGGGAAAAAACCCTTCATAATCCTCAATATCCACTTCCCCACACCCCTACAACGAAAAATCCGTAACTCAAATCAACCAATTTCATCAAAATACGCAAACTTTGAAACACCTACTTGATCTTTGAGAGATCCTTCATGGTCTTGATGGGATTTTTGGAACTGCAGATACTTCGATAAGCGTTGGAGAGCGTCATGTCGAGGTTCTCTGCGATTCCATTGGGCTTCGCCATTTCCTGCCGCTTCTTCAAGAGGTAGAGAGCGATCTCCTCGTTCTCAGGACAGCGGACTGGCCACGTGTTCTCCATTGTGGGTGGTTGATTGGAAGACTAGATTTCAGAGGTTTTTATTTTGGGAGGGAATTTTAGGGTTAGGGTTTTGGATTGGGGAGCGAGAAGAGGGAGAGTCCGTACTCTAGGGTTTTCAAAGCGTTAACCCGCCATTGCCATTCGAATTGAGGCAAATGGCGAAGGAGCGAGAAGACAGAACGACTCTTTCCTCGCGAACGGGCCGAATAGGGCCATAAACAAGCAGTAAAGAGAAGGCTCTGTGGGTTTGGGCCGGTTCAATGAACTGTGCAAATATATCATTACGTAATATCATATCGTTGAGTTTCAGAAAAACTTTCCTTAGAGGGTTTTCATGAAAGTGAATTGTAAAAGTGTGAAAGTGAAATGATTTTAAGACTTTTGGTGTTTGTTTTATTGAAAGTAATTTTGAAAGTGAAATGTTAAAATGAGTCCACATCAGCTCTAATGCATGTTTAAGTTCCCCTAAAAAAAGTGCTGAAGTCAAGTGAAAGTGAGAATAAAGTGGAGACCACTCCTAATTAATTATATATTATTTCTTTTATAACATTTAATAGTTGTGCACATTGTTATGTCATGTATATAGTACGAATTAGACAATTTATGAACATGACTATATATTTTAGCGTGATTGTTGTACAGTTGTAACATGACTAGGCATTTAATAAGCCATTACGTTATTAAAAAAATTTTAGCGTGATTGTTGTACAGTTGTAACATGACTAGGCATTTAATAAGCCATTACGTTATTAAAAAAATATAAAGTACATAAGTAAAAAAATACAGAATACAAAGAATCTATAAAAATTAGTACAAGTAATTGATGATATATATACCTGAGGCTTTCAATTCGTTCTTTAGTTCTTACCAGAATAATTATTAGAGTTTAGAGTGTAATATGAATATAAATAACAAATAAATAAATAATTGCCACATCATCTTTATTTTCCTAGTTCCAAGATTAATTTATTTTTACAAACAAACATTGCATTCACTTTCATGTTGACGTGGATCCACTTTCACACTTGCAAAAATAAGTAACTTTCACACATTTGAGTCACCTTCATTTAACCAAACACCCCCTAAGGTGGGTTATTGGTTGAGGATTGTTGATTTGAACTTGGACTTTTATTGGATTTCAGATTAGGGTGTTATTTGTTTTGGACTAGAATTTAAATCTAAATTTAAGGTGTTATTGGTTTAGGACTAGAATTCGGATTTGAATTTAGTGTGTTATTGGTTTAGGACTAGGATTTGGATTTAAATTTAATGCGTTATTGATTTAGGACTAGGATTTTGATTTTAATTTAAGGTGTTATTATTGGTTGTCTAGGATCGCCATTAGGACTAGGATTTTAAAATCCACACTCCATTCCAATCCTACCAAGTTAAAATTGATGGATTATGATCTTACACTATGGATTTTCTCACTCCTATTATCTTTACTTATTTAAGAGTCCCACTACGGGCACATCACAAACCACACCTCTAACCACACCATTCACTAAACAACAGCCACGTGGAAAATCAATCGCAGGAGAAATCTTCGTTCTCCCCCAAAATCTCAAAACCCTCTCGCTCCCCCGTGCTGGGTCCTCGAGTTCATCCTCCGGCAACCGATCCCCAACCACCTCCTCCACTCCCTAATGAACTCCCTCCCTCCTCCGCGGCGACCCTCTCTCCGAGTCCTCCCTCCTCTCCCTCGAGCTCCCTCCTCCACCAGCTCAACTCCGATTCCCGCGCTTACGACTCCTCCCCTCTAACCCTGACCCTATTCCGCTCTGCCTACGTCCATGCCACCGTAGGGTCCACGCTCAACGCGGGCTCGTCGAAGCTGGTGGTCGATGCCGTGGAGAGGACTTGGTGATGGAGTCGGAGGCGAGCGGGTTGGTTTCTGAGGAGCTGATGGAGCGGAGAGGAGGATGGAGGAAGGTGGCAGCCGAGGCTCATCTTAGTGGGACGAGGACCTCGATGGAGGTTTTCTAGGAGTTTGATGATTGTTGACTATGAACACGATGATGACCATGATGGTGGTGGTCGTAGTATGGAGAGGAATGGGGTTGGTCCTGTTATCAGGGAAGACGAAGGAGTTAATGGGTTGTTAGAAGGAAACTTACCTATTAACAGTTAAGTTTCCCAACAAATTGTTCACGAAACTCTCTATACTTCTCATTCGTGTAAACACTTTGAAACTGTTTCTCCAACTCATCTTCTCCGACGCACGGGATGTAAGAGTACCAACTTTTCATATCTTCTTGTTTTTCACTTTCCACCTTTTTTGCCAATGCATTCTCATATTGCTCTACAAATTGTTTCAGGGTTGTCTTTGAATGAATGTAACCATCAAAATATGCATTCACACTCTCGCTTCTTTGTGTGGATGACATCCCCGCCCAAAATACATCATTCACATAAGCAGGGACCCACCGCTCCCTTTCCAGATACAACCCCTATAACCATGTGTTACTTTGAAGATCATACTTTTTTATGAACTCATCCCAAGAATCCTCAAATTGTTCTATTGACAATGAATCATAAATTGTCTTACACATGGCAAAACTAATTTTTTCATAGGCAGAGTACCTACTCAACTTTTCTGGTACCTTTTTCATAATATGCCATACGCACCACCGATGTCGGGTGTTCAGGATACATTTTCTATAGCATTCTTCATGGCCATACATTGATCGGTAATAATTCCTTTAGGAGCACAACCCCACATGCATGTCAACCAAGTCAAAAATAACCATGAAAAAAATGACTCTGTGTCCTCATGAGAGATGAGTCCACATCCTAATAATATTGATTGACCATGATGATTCACGCCTACAAATGGAGCAAAAGGCATGTCATACCTGTTTACCAAGTATGTTGTGTCAAATGTCACAACATCGCCGAACTCCTTACATGCTGCCTTGCTCCTTGCATCAGCCCAGAATACATTCCTTAGTCGACCCTTTTCATTCAAATCCATGGCATATAAGAAATCAGAATTGTTGGCTTTCATTCTCATAAAGTAACTATGCATCGTTGCTGCATCTCCTTCTACAAGTCGTAAACGACGAACCTTGTCTAAATAATTCCGGCAATCCTGAGGTAAATATGGAAGCTTATCAAGTCCCCCAGCCTGAATTTGAAGTGAGTCAATAGTCTTGTGCAATTTGATCCCGGCTTTATCATTCAATTCAAGCTTTTTCTTCACATGTTCATCAAGTACGCTATTGCACTTATAAAACCTGGACTTCCCTGGGCTCTGATCATGATTGTGATCCAAGACAAGGCTTGTTAATCTCCACTTCCCATGCGGCCTTAAACGAACATTAAGATGAGCAGGACAACCAACTTTTGTTTGTGGTCGTGCCTTGATGGGGTTGCTTCCTCTCGCACTTGCCTTTCCACCTTTGCTGCAGTGAAGAATTACATGCCTCACAACACCATCTTTTCCCTTACCCGACGATCTTTTCGCCACAGCAAATCTCTTTTCTTTAGCAAATCTTGAGTAGTACAGATAAGCTTCGTTTGGTGTGTTGAATTCCATTCCCACCTTCGATTCTTCAACTCTCTCCTCACAATTTTTCATTGCCTCGTTTCCATCTTCATTAGTATTTATCTCATCAGTCTCTTCTTTTGAAAAACCGTTTAATACCTCTTCTTCTTCTCCATGATCCCCACTCCATAGCAACAAATCAAACATTGCCTAAAACAGATTATGAAAGCCATTAAAATAGATAAAATAACTTGACAAAATTTAAACATCAAAATTTCAACTAAATCATTAAATTTTATAAAAATTAAAAGTTTAACATTCAAATAGATAACCTAATTTGTAAATTTAAACAGACAAGATTTTAATTGAGGCTTTGGAGAGGGCTGAGGAGAGAAGAGGAGAGGAAAGGGCTTTTGAGGAGAGGAGAGGAGAGGGCTAATCTCTTTTATTTTTTTGGAAAAGAGGAGAGGAGAGGGCTGATTTGAGGACAGGAGAGGCTTTGGAGTACTAAAAAGTTTGTCATTTAGTGAAAGAGTGTGGTTTATGGTGTGTCCAGGGTTGTGCCCCTTTTTCGCTTATTTAAATATTTAATATATTTCAAATTAAATATATTTAATTTTAAAATGTTCTATATTTCTAATTTATTTATATATTAACATTGAATGTATTTAATTTTAAAATATTTTTAATCAACCTCTATAAAAAAATTTCATTCATTTAAAATGAAATATATTTAATACTATTTAATATTTAATAAAAAATTAGATATGTTTATTATTTAACATTACTTGAATATATAAATATTTTAAATATTTAATATTATATGTACATTTTGTTTGAACTGTTTAAATGGATTGTAAGATGTGTTCATTTTTGTTGTTGTCATCCGTTAATCAAAATGAGGGTGGTTTCTCAAAATATATTTTTTTTATTAATAATTAAACATAATAACTTAATTTGAACCTCCTAATGCAAATAATTCACAAATCTAAAATTTAGTCTGAGAATCCGACCCTCAGTCTACGAAACCAACGCAAAGGTTCAATAATCCAAACCAAAAGTTTAAGAATTCTACTCACAAAAAATAAAATCTAATCCAAGAGTCTATAGTTTTAACCATAAAATCCAAGTCCAGGTCCCAATCCAAGAATGTCGGATTCATATGCAATTGTCCGAGTCCAAACCAACAATCTGAAACGAGTAACACCTTCTTAATGAATATTGTCATTAACTCTTTTAGATATTATATTCTAATATTACTTTAATTAATAATATATATTCAAATTATTTAAAGGAAAAATCTTAGACCAAAATTTGATATGAAAATAAATCAAACAGTGGTTAAGAAAAAAAAATATTTTTTAAGAGTAAGAAGAAAATTTTGGTCACAATTAAAAAAATAGTTACTATATCTTGTAGGATTTTATAAGGTACGTTTCATCTGATTTTACTATAAATTAAAGATATTATGAAAGTAAAAAATTATAAATAGTCATCTAAAATTATAAATAACACATATAAATATTCAAATATTGCAAACAACCCCCTTTAAATTCCTAAAAATTATAAATATATGTTGATAAATAGGCATATTGCAAACGAACCCTTAAAAGTAAAAGATTATATAGACCTTGAAAATTTTGAAATTGAAAAAAAAACTTAAAAATATAAAATAGTAAATGGCATTTAAAATTTTAAAATTATAGATAAT